TCTCTGTCTTAGGTTGGTCATTGATGATCCTAGATCTTACCCGTCTCTGACTACTATTCCATTCATTCGAGCTGTTTCTGAAGGGGAGGACTCTTATTCAATCTTCTCAGGACAGCTGATTCAACCACACATTAGGTGGTTGACCTGCCCCCAAGGCCGTGATGGCCATGGCTAGCATGACGTTGTCACGCTGTCGCTGGGCCTGCAGTCTGCACAGATATCGGGCCCCTATGAAAAGGATTAGAGCCAAGAAGCCTATAATAGCTCCTATACCAGCCCACTCTTTCAGATGGGACGCCGCCGTCTGCATCCAGCTCAACATGTCCCTTTGGAATGTCAAATCCACTCTAGTTGAATTAATTTGGGCTATATTAGTTTGCAACTCTTTTACCAACCGATCAAATCCAGCTGACCATTCCCCTTTGAGATGGGCGGAGAGTTCTCTAGACAAATTCGCTGCCCTGCTATTATTATGATATGGGATAGAGGTAACACATAACCCCATTCCCCTCCAAATACATCCTGTTTGTGCTACTTGCCAAATCACATCAATCTGTTCTTGTACCAAATCAACTCGCTGGTTAACCAGCATGATTCCTCCCTTCAAATGGGAGTTGACCAGAGTCTGGGTGTCCAGTCCGGTCGCCACAGTGGCTGACAACGCGTTGAGTGTTGAGGCAGTCTGTACTGAGGTGGAGAGAGACGCGGCGGCGGCTGCGGCTGCGGCGGCTGCTATGGTGATAGCTGACACAACAGCTGCAGTGACCCCGAAATCACGCCTCTGTCGGGACAACTCAGTCGACAACGAATCTGAAAGCCGTGCGGGCACAGGCACGAACCGAGGCATCCGAACCACGATGGCATAAGGAAAAACCGTGACATTCCAACATGATGTATAAAAACAAGTGAGATTGGTACAATTCAAAGTGTGGGAATTCAGGGAGGCATTACTAACTATCCAGAAAAAGGGTTGCCAGACGCAGACCGGAGTGGAGTTAAAGGTAATATTATGGAATGGCATAAACGAGGATGCTGTGGTTTTAGGGGCCGCTGTAGCGGCGAGGGCGCCACACAAGTGGCCGTTCCCTTCCCTCCAGGCGTTGGCGAGAGGCCCTCTATCGCTGCAGAGTGTCGCCATCACACCCGCCAGGCCAGATGCGTTTTTTGGTTTTACCCCTCGGAATCTACCCCAGCCTTGTGCTCCTCCGCCAATCATGGCGAACGGGCGCAGGTCGGAGCAACTCCCGTTGATGCCACAAAGGAGCCAATTATCAAAAGGATTAATCCAACTTCGCCTGCCGACTCGCTGGTTCACAAAGGGTGCTCCCGGTGTGTTTGGAGTAAGCATGGCTCTCATGCCAGGGGAGAAAGTGAAGGTGTTGCCAACTGCCGTTTGCACATACCTACTCTGGCATTCGGTCCATGGAAAAAGAGTATCCTTTTGACTCCCCTTACAAAAGGGTGCCCACCTAGGTTGGGGCATGCCAATCCGATTAATCTCCGTATCGGGCCACCAACCAGAGATCCAAGAGGCATTAACATCAAAATGGCCAGATGCATTGAGCCTCGGCTCAAACCATAATGCGGTCCAATGAGCCAATTTAACGCAGGGTGATGATGAATTGGACTTAGTAAAACATAGAGATCCATTCAGAGTGAAATTTCGATCTCCTTCAATAGAGCTTATATCTTGATCGAGCGGCAGGAAAGGCAAATTCATGGATTCATTTGAAGAAAAGAAATATGGAAAAAGGGAAGCATCATGTTTGATCGGCAAAGGAAGTGGGAACACTGACATGATTCCCCAATAATCAATAGCCAAGCCAACCGGGAACAGGGACAAAATGAAAAAGAGAACAAGAGACCCCATCTTACAAAAATAGATCTCTTTCCACACAAAGGCAATCACAATACCTCCTTAAAGAAAATCACAAACCCAAAAATACCTATTAAAACAAAATAAACAACAAAGAAAACTACCTTATCAAAAATACTATAACTATCAGGAGAAACTGCATAAAACCCTATAGCAAATAAACAGACAATCAAAAAGGCAAAAAATAGAAAAGGATAAAACATAATAGAATTCACGGGGAGGCTGACAATGCTGGATCCGGATCCGCCGATGGCGACTTCTCCACCTCAATTTCCCCTATCTTTCTTTGTTGTGGAGCAGGTAACTGCCGGCAACGACGGGTCAATCTGGTGGGCACCCAAACGGGATCCAAGCGATTCTGTGGAAAAACACAAATAGCTCCCCTGGATCTGTGCAACACAGGATCCGGTCCATGCCAATGGCCTGTTAGAATATCTTTCCACATAATGGTTTCAGTACTTGCAACAGCTTTGGAGGCGTGCCTATCGGCAGC